TGATGTAGTGTGTGCTCCTGCAGTTGGAATATTTGAATCGCAACTTGATAAAGCATTGGAACACTTAAAATTTCAACATTTGTGAATGATCATGAATATTATTATCATTGTTATTTTCTCTTTGTAAAGTTCTTCAAAAGATTCGGTAAAAATCTTATTGGGTATGATAAGCTTTACCTTTGTTAAACCGCCCATAATAAAACTTTGACTTTCAATGGAATGATTTTGTGGATGATGTGTCAACCGTTTGCACCTTTAACACATGTTTTAGTAAATGAGAAATCCGTAGTATCATTGGTATACCCCAGACAGATTTTGGATCCTACTCGGTTTTCATACGCTTCGAAATATGAATTTTCAAGGTCATGCCCGTATGCATGTTTTCTCATTAAAAATGACTATCCTTTAGACTCATATCGGGTGACTATTGCTAACAATATTCCCCAATGCGATTAACCACTTCGTGTACTCGACGCTATTTCCTTGTATCTAATACAACCAATTTCGCTGCGGTCTTTGCATATCTTTCTCATCCAATCGCGCCTATTTCGTCATAAAACCAATCTCTCTTGATGATTTGACAATCTAGTTCTTACACCAATGCAGTTGAGAATTTATTTCCAGCGGTTTTCCAATCACAATCCTAGTTTTCAGTCCCTAGTATCAGTTCATCCGTGTCCCGTTGCTTTACGAACGGTTTGCGAGATTTTGTTTCGTGCCATGTCGTTTTTATCGGGACGACCAACCGTGTCGTGCAACCTCTTACCCTTGGTGGTCTTTCTGTGTTCCATGAGGTGGGTTGGTTTGTTCCACATTCACCTCGACTGTGTGGTCCGCTATCAACACGGTTAACTGGATACGATCGCTTTATGCGTTCAATTGAAGTGTGCTATGCGCCTTTGTTTATCTGGTCGCGCGATAGCCCACAAGTGTTTCCCTTTTTTCCTCTTTCTCACACACATACATACACAACCTACTTCTTCAAAGTCTGGATACTCTTATTTCCTGTCATCTGAAACGTATTTTCATACTTTGTTATGTGTCGCTCCTTCCTGTCGTGTGTGTGTGTGTTACTTCCTAAACTTGTTCTCTGTCCGGCATGTTTCGTACCAGATGCACGCATCACATATACACACAGTGGAGTTATACCGCAATCCTAGTTATTCACTGACTGGGAGTTTCCGCTTTTTGTGAACTAGCGGTTAGATTTTGCACTGAATGACTGGTCTGCATTGTAACGTTGGTTCTACATTTTAGCAATCTACTACCGGGAATCTATTCTGATTTGCATGTTTAATATGCCTGGAGTAGTCACACTGAGTGATAGATAATTTGCCGTTGAGATTCAAACCCACACCTGGACGCTTCCTACGCTTTTGTACAGCACATGCTCCACCAGCTGAGCTACGAGGCCATATCGGTAGCGCTGATCTTCTCACATTCGAATCGCCAATCTAACTTACAGAGGTATATGGCATCCACCAATTAGCAATTGACAATCCATCTTGTCTTAGAATTTCATTCTATGGACCCCGAGGAATTCGAAGGAAAACCTGTCGTGACAATCAACTTGCATGCTAACTGGTGAATGCCATATGCCTCTGTACGTTGGATGGGTGATTCGAATGTGAAAAGATCAGTGCTATCGGTGTTGCCTCTTAGCTCAGCTGGCGGAGCATGCACTGTACAAAAAACGTAGGCGGTGTCCATGCGTGGGTTCGAATTCCACCGAGGCTTCTGAACATTTCACAATCTCAGCATAAAACTTCAATCTGGCAAACAACAATGTGAACAGATAATTTGTTCGCGAGGAAATGTCGTCTGTCTGTAAGTGTTGGTCGACACATACTGTCGGCACTACACTTTCCAACAAGACTCCGGCTGCGACAAAGTGGCCAGGTTTAGGTGCAGATAAATCTCCTGTGATTTCATTTCCAAGCTCTTTCAAAAATTCAAGATTCATGGACAGGGGGAACTGCATAACGATCGAATAAGTCCAGCGAGATTACATAAAGCTGAGCGGGGATGAATGATAAACGCGGGTGATCTGTTGGACATACACACGGTCCGTGACCACATGATAACTCGTTTTTCGAGGTTATTTCATCACTTTGATCCGGTCTGCTTTGATCAACCTTCGGCCAAGATCACACTATTGCTCCGATATTGATTTGCACCAGGATCAGGCTTCGATAGTCCAATGTGAATCTCCTCTGTGGTCACTAAAATCCAGAACCGTATTGCTCCGTTGGTATGATTGGATCGGGTGAATGACAGGAGAGATTGATTTTGATGCTTCAGGACACAAAGTCTGTAAAAATCGTTCACGCAAACGACAATCTTATCTTGGGATTCTAAGTAACCTTTGTATTCAATGTTTAGAGGTTCGATGATTCTTAATCCTGTATTCCTGTTGTCGGTCTCCTTTTGTGTCCGTAAAATGAACACGCCTACCAATTCATGAAGAATCGCCTGCTTGGATTGAATTGTGTCAGTTCGTTTATCTATGAAATCGTTTGGTGAACCGTGTGTGTTCTGTTTTTTTTTAGTAAGCTTTTTCAGCTAGAATCTCCTTATTCTTTTTCCAAATCGTTCCATCAGCTAGTTGCACACACCTTCGCCACATGAAAGCAATTGATTGTATTTATCGCACACAGACGCTCACAAACATCATGCATATTACAATCCCATCGTCTCTCCTTAAACTCTTTTTTCCTTCGCAGATACTTATCGCCTCCCACCGCCTGTTTAATCTGCTATTATAAATTGTGCTGTATTTAGTCTGTTTATGTAGCACCGAAAACGATTTTGTTTACTAAATTTCATGATTGCATTTACTCAACGCAGTATATATATATATATATATATATATATATATGCAACAATGGTACAACTTTATTTTCCTCCCTATTCTTGATTGTTGACTCTCGGCAACCAGTTTGGCGTGCCCATATACAAAAAGGTAAAGGTTACAAATTTCAATGATCCCAATCGAATTGGAGTGCTCATAATCATTAAGTTTGTTGTGAACTTAACTTTCATTCCTATTCCCATTTCACAAATGCTCTAACAAATCAATTGTAATGGCTATTCCGATCAAATACGAAGCTTGTTCTATCTCTCTCTCCCGCTCGCTCTGTCTCTAGTAAGCGGTATGTTTTTCCGTTTTCACGTGTTCGGGTACATCTCGTGGTAGGTGTTTTTTTCTTTTATCCATGCTTTCAGCAAACTAATCCACGGCTTTCTGA